CCTACAAAATTTCTTTATTTTTCCTCTTTTTAAATTTGTATTTAATATTTTTCTATAACATATACATTTAATATTGTAAAGCTTCCCATTTAAAATATGAACTTAAAAGATTTGTGAGGGGTGTACGCATATATGCGGAGCTCTGTATTCTTCTCTGTTCTACATATTACTAGACAAACACAAACCAACCTTTCAAAGACAAACCTAAACAAGTTTATATTCTGTATATATATATTTATAATAATATATTTATCAGTAAGATTTTGTTGGGGCACCATAGCAAATATGTCTCCCATTTGCCAGTGAGATGTGCAGATGTTTTCTTTAAAGACAATTGAAAACCTTGTTTGTGTTTGTAAGTAATAAGAGTCAAAACCATAACCAAGCTTTGTATCAAATAGATAAAGTAAAAAGAAACAATGAAAGTTTATTTTTTCAAGGATTATGAATACTTTTAATAATATGAGTATAAATAAGGTGCATTTTATCAATTAAAAAAGCACTTCAGTTTAAAATCTGTGAATCATTTGAGCTATAAACCACTTCTATGGTTGTTTTACTGTTTGTAGCATTGCTTTGTAATGGTTTTTAAGTAATAAAACTGTAATTACTGTAACTTTACAGGCAAAAGGTTAGTAATTTTCCATACTAAAATCAAGTTCACATGCATGTTTATGTCTTTTGGCAGTATTTTTGCATTTACAAACTAGTTCCATACACTTTTTGTTCCTTTTTGTAACATCATCATGGCATTAAAAGCATCCACTAAGCTTAATTTGTGTACCTAACTTGGAAAAATCATTGGATTCTCGATTTTGCAGTATGGAGCACAACTGCAGAGTCATGCGTTGGTGGTTAAACATATTCCTGCAGCTGTCGAGTCCGTCAGCAAATTCTGATGCAAAAGTTTGTGACTCACGGTGCGCACAGAGAGATTTGGGGTTTTAAAAGAGTGGCATTAACTGTGTGTGGTGAAAGTGCGCATGATGGCTAACTGTCTCACATGGCTGTTAGGTTTTAGTCATACCTCTCATTAGAACTAATCCACAGCAGTCTTTTCACACTGCGGACTGGCTGACGGCCATATGGCAATTTTACAAGCGCACAACTGCACATACTGTACGTCAAGGGTCTTTTTTATTTTATTTTTTTGAAGCAGCCAGATGAAAAGGTAGGTGTTTGAGAGGAAAGGCGAGTTCATTTGTATGTGTGTAGCATGGAGGTTTGCTCTGGTTTGTTGTTGCCAGCTCTCCTCCAGTGAGGTTGTGACAGAGTTTGACTGGTGTCATGTGACCTTGCTGGAAGTGTGAGTACAGAGGGGCCGGAGCCAGGAGACCCAATCTGTCACCCTCGCCCCACCCTTCACACACATGCAGAGATGGAAACAAATTTGCAAAAATGACCCCTATAGTAGAGGCGCTAAAATCCACACGCGCTGTCCAAATTCTAGGCAAAATGTGGGCAAATGAAGGAAAACTATGTCTGACTCGGCTGATTTTTCTTGGCTGGGTCGTCTCAGACAAATATCATGATGTTATGTGAAAACAACTATTTTATGCTTTAGCGAAGGTAAATGAGGTGTATTACACACAAAAAAATCTTAATATAATTAAAAAAAATTATATAAATAAATTTTTGTTAGTTAAATCGAAAGAATTTTTCTTGTCATCTCAACTAAACATCAATGAATCTGACTAAAAATTTTAAAAACTTTGTATAACTTAAAAAATGTAGTTGAAACCTGATTAACTTATTAAAATAGGTTAAAGCAACATAAAATATTTGTTGTCTTGACTTCTGGCAATGCTATTTTTTAAAATATTTACATTTTAAAAATAAAATGTATTGATTTGTGTAGTGTGTTTTGCAAAATGTATTAAAAAGACAACTGAAAAGTTATTCGACTTATCAACTGCACATTGACACTGGTTCATAAAACGAGGAACAACATGTTTATATGAAGCATATAAGTGTACAAAACATATATTCTGCTTGGCTGCTTGGAAATGAATATAAGCAACGAAGTATACAATAGTGAGATGAATTGAAATTAATTTCATGAATGTTTAAAAGGAAATCTTGCAACTGACTAGTCCAGAGATGCTCAAAGTAGGGCCCGGAGGCTAAAGTTGGCCCATTGTAACCTTTGATTTGACCTGCTGAAAAGAGAGGGAGAATGATGGGGTGGTGGTTGGGGTGAATGCCTTTGTCAATAATCATCATTAAGAATTTAACGAAACCTTTTACTTCTTTGTTTTATTGCAGAGCTACAAAAAAGCCTAAATTAAATGATTCAATTAAATACTGTAAATGAATCAGACTTTTAAAATGTAAATACTGTCAGCAAACTGCACAAGACATCTGCGAGCAAATCAAAGTAAGTTTGACAAGTGTATGCAGCATTGAACTTGTGTTTTAAATGGGATTGTTAACATTTTACTATAATAAATTCATTATAAAATGTTAAAACACATACTGCATTCGTTAATATGATTTCAAGCAATGTTTTCTAGTTATTTATGGATATTACAGAATAAATTCAAAAATTACCCATGGCAAACGGTTTGGTACAGTTGAAGTCAGAAGGTTAGGGTAATTAGGCAAGTTATTGTATAATGGTGGTTTGTTTTGTAGACTATTTTTTTTTTGGCCCTTTATGAAAAAAGTTTGGGCATCCCTGGACTAGTCTAACAAACACCCAGTCAAAAACCCACTAAAAATAACAGTAAGTATAAACAATCCATTTTAAAATCCCGTTCTTAAATTCAGTGTTTGTATATTACATGTATGTCAATAATAATGCAAGCAATAGACAGCGTAAAAGCATTAAGTACAAACTAAATATTGTACATATATTATTACATACTTTTAAGGGTATTTGTGCTCATTATTAGGATATTAATATAGTGACTGTTGTCAAGTCTCAATGTTTCCCCTTGAATAATTAAAGCTATTCAGATATTTTCCCTCATTACTGGTAGAAACAAGCCTGCGGTGCTCAGCATAATGGAGTACACCCCATTTAAAACAAAATAAATATATTTTTTATCAATTTCTCAGTAAATATAGGTATTTTGGTGAATTTAAACAAAACAGATTTATTAAGCAGATACATTTATTAAGATAATATTTTAGTCACCAAACATATTTAGAAATTAAAACATAAAACAATTAAATTCAAGCAAAATACTGCAAAAAATAATATAACCTACAAAATTTCAACTAATTATTTTTTATTTTTTTGCTTCCCTTGATTTTTCCTCTTTTATAAATTTGTATGTAACATTTTCTACATATATAAATTTGGGTGTACTAGTTTTTGGACTGTTATGATAAGTTATTTTGTTAGATATGCTCCAGATTTGGCTTCAGTACTGCCTATAATATTCAATAAACAAATAGCTTCCTATAGGAAACATGAATTTCAAAGTCAGATTTGTGAGGGGTGAACTTATATATGCTAACCCCTGTATAAGCAATGCGTAATAGTTAACACTCAGTCAAAATACTCCTCAATTTGCTCATCTTGAACCTTTCGCTGATCCTACCACGAGTGACATGGAGAAAACAGACACATGTAAACTCCAATATTTACACTAAGTGATGTTAAACATGCAACATTAAACACAGTAACTTGAATGTAGCCTTAGTAAAACCATAAAGTAAACCATTCATGTTTTTTTAAATCTTTAAAAAGGTAATGACTGTTGTATTATTACTGTCAAATAGCAGCTAAAGAAAAAAAATAGGCTAATTAAATAAACAGTGGCTACTTTATAGATCCCATCAGTATGAAAATGTACAATTTATATGGAAAAGTAAGCATAAAGGACTACTCCTAAACATAAATAGGGCGTGAGCAAGATAGTAAAAAGAAGTAAACTAGTTATGAATTCCCATAATATTTTTGTGCGCGCACACACACACACACACACACACACACACACACACACACACACACACACACACACACTAACTTCGAATCTTTCTTTGCGTTTCTTTTCTGTGAAAAAAATAGGACTCTGGCTTGTGTTGCAGCAGTTTTCCCCTTTGTTCTGATTGTATTAAGTGACGGGTCCACATGTTCTGGATCGTATCTGCTTTCATATGCAGTGAAATGCAGCTCTCCGGCAGCACTCTGGAGGCAGGAGGTCTGTGCATGAAAGAAACTTGAGTGCGAGACTGAAAACCACACCACACAACAAGAAGAAGAAAAAAAAAAAGTGGGGAAAGACAACCAGTGATTGGAAGCTTTGTTGCACCAAAACCGCCCATTTTAGCGTTAATCCTTGACCTCAAACTGTCAGACGCACCTTTTGACAGTCTGGAATATAAATTCTGACTCAATAGCGGCTTTCAAATGCATAACTCACGCACTGCCTGGTCAGAACAACGTGAAAAAACACACGTACAAATAAGAGAGGAAGGTAAAACGGGAAGAGACGCTTGGGGAAACAGGAAGATGCTTGCAAAATTGTGCAATTAAATGTGTAGCCTCCGTGTTTTTTGTGTTGACTTAATAATTTAAAAAGCAAAAGCTGATAGAGACGAGTGTGTGTGTGTGTGTGTGTGTGTGTGAGATTGGGCTGCAGGCCGACAGCACAGGAGGAGATTTGTTGTTACTCAGAGTGTGGGTGGTAGAGAGGGCGTGAGTGTTGTGTGTGGTGCTCTGAATCCACTCAAACACGGAAAGAGAGAGGGAGAGAGAGAGAGAGAGCGCTAAAAGGAAGAAAGTGGATGAGAGATGGATGACGGGGGGGACGTACACTACTGCAGCTAAAACCTCTTCACAGAAATACAGCAGCCTCTGGCCGAGAGACCCCACACACAGGCGGCTGAGCTGCTCGCCACAGGAGGATATATTTTTTAAAGCACTGTGGAATTATCTAAGAGCTTCATCTATAATGTTTTGGTAGGGTAGACACTTTTTCATAGACAACATATACAGTGAGCACTGTAGGTCAGAGGGGTTTATAAATCTAGTGGAATTTGTAACTTACCAGATGGAAGTTCTTGGAAGTTGGATCAAAGTTGATTGTCGAAATGGAAGAAAGATGTATCCCGAGCAAAAACCTGTGCTGGAAACAAAGGAAATACCTGGATCAGATAAATCTAGGAGGTCCAGCACTGCATTATAGCCATTAAACAGACTTAACCGTCATACTACAGAGTAATGAATGGCATGACATACATGGCAGTGATAAATTGAACTGTGGCATAGAAAAGAACACAATACAAAATGCTGGGTTATTCATTCATTCATATCCCTTCGGCTTAGTCACTTATTTATCAGGGGTCACCACAGCAGAATGAACCACCAACTATTCTAGCATATGTTTTACGGATGTCCTTCCAACCGCAACCCAGCACTAGGAAACAGCTATACACTTCCACATTCATACAGGCACTCATACACTATGGTCAATTATGTCATCAAGCCGGGTCTCGAACCAGCGACCTTCTTGCTGTGAACCCTGAGCCACCGTGCCGCCCTGTCAATGTTTTGTCATTCATCATGTTTTTCTTTTATTGTTGTATGTCATGCGTTAGTAATTACAGAATGTGTGTGTCTTCAAAAAGGGAATGACACTCCATGATGTCAGGCCAGATTCTAATTTTATAGAACATTTTGTTTTTGAAGAAGAAAATAGCCACATGTTTAAAGCAGTACACATCGGGCAGTAACAGAATTGTTCTGTGTGTTGTTTTTCTCTCTCCCTCTCTCTCTCTCCATTACTTGGGCCTGGGTATTGCGTGGCTCTGCTAGAGATGTAGAAAAGGCAGTGTTACACAACAGGAAGTGAAGCACGTCTCAGGAGCTTTAAAGACAAATAGACCGGTTTGATCAAGTTTAGTGCGGGGCTCTCTTGAGCCCACCTCTCAATACCGGCTCAAGAGCACAAACACTGGAGAGCACAGGGGGAGAAAGAACACTTATAGCTTCATACAGCCTGGCTGAACTATTCTTTAGCTTTTTTCTCTCTCTCCCTTTTAAATAGCAGTGAAAATACCAGATTCCTGGAAATCTGAAGATAAGCTGGACAGCCTGAATGAATAGTAATGCAACATCCATCTGTCTATCTGTCTATCTGTCTATCTGTCTATCTATCTATCTATCTATCTATCTATCTATCTATCTATCTATCTATCTATCTATCTATCTATCTATCTATCTATCTATCTATCTATCTATCTATCTATCTATCTATCTGTCTGTCTATCTGTCTGTCTGTCTGTCTGTCTGTCTGTCTGTCTGTCTAGTGTTCAATCCTGCTAAGAAGTGTCAAACCATAACAGAAATTCACACTACAGGGGGCGCTTATGAGGGTTATATCGAGTTTAGGGTTAAGGGTTTAGAGTCTAGGGTTATTTAGTGCTACGGTTCAGGGTTTTTTAGTGTTAGGGTTTAGGGTTATTTAGTGTTAGGGTCTAGAGTTATTTAGAGTAAAGGTTTAGGATTATTTAGGGTTAGGGTTCAGGGTTATTTAGTGTTGGGTTCAGGTTACTTAGTGTTAGGGTTTAGGGTTATTTAGTGTTAGGGACTAGAGTTATTTAGAGTAAAGGTTTAGGGTTATTTAGGGTTATGTAGTGTTAGGGTTCAGGGTTACTTAGTGTTAGGGTTCAGGGTTATGTTAGGGTTTAGGGTTATTTAGTGTTAGGGACTAGAGTTATTTAGACTAAAGGTTTAGGGTTATTTAGGGTTATTTAGTGTTAGGGTTCAGGGTTACTTAGTGTTAGGTTACTTAGTGTTGGGGTTAAGGGTTATGTTAGGGTTTAGGGTTATGTAGTGTTAGGGTCTAGAGTTATTTAGAGTAAAGGTTTAGGGTTATTTAGGGTTAGGGTTCAGGGTTATTTAGTGTTAGGGTTCAGGGCTATGTTAGGGTTTAGGGTTATTTAGTGTTAGGGACTAGAGTTATTTAGAGTAAAGGTTTAGGGTTTGGGGTTATTTAGAGTTAGGGTTCAGGGTTATTTAGTGTTAGGGTTTAGGGTTATTTAGGGTTAGGGTTTTCGAGTGTAAGGGTTCAGGGTTATGAAGTGTTAGGGTTCATGGTTATGTTAGGGTTTAGGGTTATTTAGTCATAGGGTTCAGGGTTATTTAGTGTTTGGGTTCAGGACTATGTTAAGGTTATTTAGTGTTATGGTTCAGGGTTATGTTAGGGTTACTGTAATGCAACATCCATCTGTCTGTCTATCTAACTGTCTATCTAACTGTCTGTCTGTCTGTCTGTCTGTCTGTCTGTCTGTCTGTCTGTCTATCTATCTATCTATCTATCTATCTATATCTATGGTCAGAAACAGAAGTAAAACTGTTACTAGGATGGACAGCAGCATAAAAGTATAACTAAAAACAGGATGCAATATAGATGAGTGAATTATATTAAGAACCTGTGTTAGCAGTAAGATGCTTATTAAGGCTCCCGCACCCACAGGGCTTCATGCACCCGGTCTACAGCTCAAAGAGTACGCTTAAACTGTAGTGTCAGCAAAAAAGGCAGCTACCATTGTTTCAGCTTTTCAAAGGAACATATAGAGTGGACTGCTGACAGGAAACGGCTGGAGTAGTTAAAGGAGGGCGTATATATAAATAAAAATAAAGTGTTCCAATGGGACATTTCACCCAAAATGTCAAATGATGTGAGATTTGTGTACGTGTGTGTGTGTGTGTGTGTGTAATAATACTCAGTTCAATTCTAGATCAAAACTCAAATAGCTGCAAAATATGAACTAAAATATTTGTGAAACATTGTTTTTACAACTCTGATGCAGAATTACAATTTACAAAACTACGAATTGCGTAGTTTTTAAACAAAAATAATTAATAAACATAAATAAACAATTTAGAATTGCAAAAAATAAATTTGTTATTGAAAAAAAGTAAAAATCTGACCATATTATTTAAAAATGAATTAATAAAAAAAATATTTCCCTCACAATTCTGTTTATATCCCCCATGTCACAATCACCAGTGATCTAATCCTTACAGATTGCTGGTAAACACACAAATTACATAGGATAACAAATGTACTGGTATATGGACCACAAGTTCCAATCATGCACCACACACACCTGTTCCAGATCACGATTGATTACACTCACACTGCTGGGAGCTGCTCAAAGACTGATTAGATTGACTTTAAAAGCAGCACAGACACACACACTAGTTGCTGAGTCTTGTTATAGTGAACATTACGACACATTTATCTTGCCATATACTGACCTTTGATTTGCTTTGTTTTGTTTTGTTTTGTCTGCTGCCTGTCTTTGAGCATTCGCCTGTTTATGATGTCTCTGGATTTCCTGTATACATCTGGTAGCTCCTTTTTTAACCATTGCTTGGCTGACCATTCTCTGTTTAAAAAACCCTGTATTTGGATTCACACCTCCATGTCAGCGTCCCCTTCACATAACACCCCAATTCTGAGTCATATCTTCTTACTTAATAGCTCACAATCAATTCTGACTGATCTTTTTCTGCATCCCTAATCCTACCCAAAACCTAAACCCAACTTCTACCTTAGTAACTATTAATAAACAGCTACTTAGTAGTTTATCAAGCTAACAATATGAGTTAATGGTTTGTAAGAACTGTGAATTGTGACCTAAACTAAAGTGTTACTGACATTTCTCCATATGAAGTGAAGTATAAGGACAAAGCAAAATGACTGCACTTTAAGATGACTGTTACGAGGGACTTCAATTAGAAAAGTAATCAGGGTGAAGCAGTACTTCTTTTCCCAATAAAAATGCTTTACAAGATGATTGCATTGTATTTTGGGCCATTTGGGCCGAGCTAAAAAGCTGTGGCCGATGCAAGAATATGAAACCAAACATACTGGGCAGCAAAGAGCCCATTTTTTCATCTCATTTCCTCTCTTTCTCTGTCCTTCCTTTTTCCAGACGAAGCCTTCTCAGTCTATGGCGGCCGTCCATCACTTTTCTCTCAGCTCTCTGTTAATGCCACGCTCTCTCTCTCTCTCTCTCTCTCTCTCTCTCTCTCTCTCTCTCTCTCTCTTTGAGATTTAGAGACTCTGAGTGTGACATGGAGAGGCTCAGCTTGTGTCTGCCTCGAGGCAGTGGTCCGGCTCAGCCAGGGAAATTTATAAAGTGTCTGACGTTATCGCCATGCGGTATGCAGAGCATTCCTTCTCCCCTTCTCTCTCTCTCTCTCTCTTTCTATCTCAGCAGATCTTCAACTGCTCTACATTACTGACATCTTTGCCCTGTTCTCTAACACAGTAACCACTAACATTATTCATCCTGCAACTCCTAAACTCTGTACTTTTAAATGGATAAAAGGTTCACCCCAAAATTACTATTCTGTCACTTATGCATCTGCAATTTAACTCTGTGGGATATAAGGGGAGAGATGTAGGACTGCTTGTTAACATTGAGAAAGCACTGAGAATAATGAAAGCAAATCTTTGGAAGAAAAAAACAGACATAAACAAATGGGGTTTTCACAGCATTGTTAGAAGAGACGTGTGTGTTCCCACAAGAACTAACCAACAATGCTTTTTTGTTTGTTTTTCATTATGTGATGAACATTTTAATTATCTAAAAAAATCTGTATGGAAAAACGTACAAAAGTTGTTGAAGTTGTTTTTGTGGAACCACCAATGCCAAATATAAAAACTTGTATTTTTTTAAAAGATGGTAAAAAATTATTTTATTTATAAATGTATAATTTGAAGATAGTAGAAATACTAGTTTCCCACCACAGATTTAAAAATAAAAACCTTCTCAGAACTGTCACTTTGTGTATTGCAGTTTTCAACTATAAACTCACAAATTAAATAAGAAAGTTGAAGAAATAAGCTGAAGTAATAGAGGAATGATGTGTGTGGTAATGGGGTGGGAAAAATAATAAGCTTGTCCTTCATCCCGCTTCATTTCAACCATGTTGTAATGTATTTTGTTTAAAGAAATGTTTTAAGAGTATGATTTTTTTTGCTCAAAATGAATCAAATCAAAACATATATCATATCATATCATATCATATCATATGTCATATTAAATCTCATCAAATCAAAACAAGTCATACATCATATATCATATCAAATCAAAACAAAACATATAT